TATTAATAAAATGTTTAAGTTTATCGGTAAGAATTTAGATTTAGTAAGTGCTGATAGTTAGCACTGAACAAAATCCAAATTGGGGGGAAGTTGAAATGATTTCAATAGGTCAAAGAGGATATAACTTAAAGGGATTTTTATATGAGTTTGTTGTTCATGAATTTCATGAAGCCATCACAATGTGGGGTCGACTCTGAAATAAAAGGGAGAAAAGATTAGTAAATTGCTAAATAAATTAATTTTGACTTACCTGGTATAGTGTTAATAATTTCTGAATAGTATAGTTGCCTAGTGTATAGGTGAATCGTCTAAACCTTAAAAGGAATAAAAAAGAAGAATTCTTAAAAAATTATTTAAACATAGAAATTTCAAAAATAAACGTCAGAAAAATAAACTGTCAAAAGTCTGTGGGAACTAAATTAATAGGGGTTTTGTTAAATAAATTACAATGATGTGGAGATGAAAAGAATAAATTATATTAGTATTGTTAAGTTTTATATCTGAATTTTTTTTTTATAAATTCCCAAATTAGATGTGATTAAAGTGCTTATGAGAAATTAATGTGGTTTGACAAATATGTCAAAACAGGACAGTTTTATGGTTGAATAAAATAGAAGACGGAATGAAAAAAGAAAAGTGGGTTGCTGTTAGCAACGAATAATTTTGGTTGGTGCTAGCTATGGCGGTGAACAAGGAAGAATAGGTTGTTGGAGGCGACGAAAATTTTGGAGGAAGAGCCCTAAAAAGGTGGAATAGTCCGGGAGTGCTTTAAAATCGTTTAATTATAATTTAGTTTTTCCACATTTTCAAATAGAGATATCCAGAATTTGTTCCAGAGAGTAAGAGAAATTTTGACTTATAAATTATAATTGGAGTGCAGAAATGTCATTTAGATTGAAAAAGTAAAAATTCATGAATTAACTAATTGCGATAGGCCTTAAAAATTGAAATATTAATGATCATTAAAATAAAAATATAATAGTACGTACCTTTAACTTCCGAAGAGAGGATAGATATTCCAGTTTCACCGATTATTTTGCGAGTAGTTAGTTTTCTTTAAAAAATAAAAAAAATCAGAACTGTTTGAAAGTGAGTTTGGATAATAATTTTGGGGATCATTTGAAATTTTGATTATATTTTAATGTTAGTTATAAGTCAGCAGAATAAAGTGTTCAGTTTTCTTTTCTTTATATTTCATTTAAACACTTTATAAAGTTGCAATAGTCATTTAGATTTAAGGTAATTGTAGAGAGTTTCCACATTTTGTAATCAAATTCTATTTTCACGACACATTAAGGTTTACACGATTCCTATTTTTGTAAATTTTTAAAGGCAACCCAAGTTGCAGACGAATTTTATTGTTTATATTAAATTTGTTCAATATTAATAAATAACGTGCTTCATTTGGGTTAATTTATCAAAAATATAAAGTAAATTTTGGTTTAATTTCTTTTTGAACTCTACCAGGAGACTACAGAGTTGACGTCACACAGTGACAGATTGCTTAGAACAAATAATTGAGCTAGCCGAGGTATAGTATATTAACAACGAACTACATACTTTTAAAATTCACTTCAATTCAATTAAAATTATATTTATTAACAATAAAACATAAAAATAATAAAAACAAAACTATTACAATATATATATATATATATATATATTCTCAATTTAGAACGAGAAAACCGACTGTATAATGATCAAATAAACTTTTCAATTTATTATTTTGTATATCAATGAACCGTATTTTGTGCACAATGATATTTGTGACAAGAGAAAATATTTTCAATAACGAAATACACAACATGTAGGTCTCTCTATTTTATGTTTGTATAACGCCCAAGCGTAATTATCGAAATAGTTATATAATTATCGTGGTATTTTCCAATCGAAATAAATGGATATGAGATGGATTTAGTACTTTAATATTAATTCTGTACGATGATAATTTATTAACATGGTATTTTCCAATTGATATAAATGGATAATATGAAATGGATTTAAAACTGTAATATATAAGCGTATATAAAACGTGTATAAGCGGTCTAATACTTTTTTATACACTCTTAAAAAAATAATAATAAACGATAATTATTAACGTTATTGGTATTCTGTCTCCATAGTTTAATTATATAATTAATAGTAATCAATTTTTATTCGTTACTCATTAACGATATATTACGATAATACGTGTTAAATCTAAATATAGGTATAATTGTGGTAAGGTCTAAGTACTTTATTTTATAATATCACGAAGATGTGAAGTGTATGCTCTAAAAATTAGAACGAACCGCAACAATATGATTTCTGTTGTTATAAGTTTCGTAAAGTTTTGTTTTGAAGAAGCATTAAAGAAAAGTAACGTAAATAAAAATAATAGCAATAAAAAATGAGACACGGACAGATAAGAGTAAGTTTTTAAAATATACATAATATACTAGACGTGTAATTAGGTTTAATGCCCGTTCAAATATACCTAGTGATTGAGAGGAGTAAAGTAATTTAGTCGAGTTAATCTAATGTTGTCACAAGTCTAATAAATTGGTAGAATTTACTAAATCCTTCTATGCCGCCATTGTTCGTAAGGATATGTTGACATTATGTCATTCAGTTGACTAGCTGTGTTCATTCATGTATTCCTTGTGCATGCTGTTTTTCTTCTGAACACTAATAATCTGCTAGGTTCTTTATTTGGTCTGACCATGACAGCTAAGTTCAATCTTTCTTTCAATACTTTCTCATCATATATCCCATATGTTCAATGTATGGTTCTAATAATATTGAGTTATTGTATTGCTTATCGCATGCAGATTATTCTACGGTAAACCCGCTTTTCCGAAGCCACTATGCGTTTAGAATCTGATTTTTAAATGATATACTTTTCCATTACAAAAGAAGTAATGGGAAGAAGTGATGCAAAATTTTGTATTTTTTTGTAAAGTTGGTGTCTTTCAATATTTTAATGAGTTTCAAGCGGGTGAGGACCTTCTTAATAGTTAAAATCTCTCTCTTGGTATAAAAGTAAGAATACTATGCTATGCTATGTCATCTGTTTTGTTTTATGGTGTTTTTGTATGGATTGGAAGCGTTTGAGATGTGGTTGTACCGGAGAATACTCAAGATCCCGTGGACTGACCGAATTACAAATTAGGTCCTCAGAAGAATGAAGAAGAACCGAGAGGTACTGAACACCATCAAATCTCAAAAGCTACAGTTCTTTGGACACATTATGCGAAATGAATCCAGATATGTCCTCTCCTCCTATAAGTTATCCTGCAAGGAAAAATATTTGGAAGGCGAAATCCAGGAAGAAGACCAGTTAAACCACTGTAGAAGACCATTGTATTAAAATAATTTGTTCATGTATAGTATTTCTCAGGGGGATGACATAACGCCGAGTCTAAAAAAAATAATTTGAGGGATGTTATATTTTCTCTCGCTCACGCATGACGCATGGAGCTCTGTTTCTCCTGACTTAATCCAATCATAATTTATGTTATGTAGAATGGGATGATAAATTGTGTATAGTAGTGTTCGTATGGGCAGGTTTATGAAATACGGAGAACCCATGTTTGTTTTTAAGTCTGATAATTTTTAAATCTAAAAAATGTATGGACTGATTTTGTTCTGTTTCTATTGTAAAGTCTATATGACTATGGAGTGAATTAATACACAATAAGAATTGGTTAAGTTGCCTGTTAAATTGGAAGCCTACCATAGCATGTTATATAAATTATAGAAATTCCCATGTCAAAAAAGAACTTCGAGATACAATAATAAATACAATTTTAAATCAAAAACTACATAAGCCCTGAAGTTAGTATTTCCACCACAAAAAAAAACCCAGTAGCTTCTGCTCGATTACATATACAGGCAAGATATCAACAAAAATAACCAAACACATACAAAAGAAAGGAATAACATAATCATTCAGAACAAACAACAACTTGGGGAAATATATTAAGAACACAAGAGCCAAAATAAAAAGTACTTACACAGTGGTGTGTACAAATTTAAATGTGGCTACTACCCAAAAACTTACATCGTTACTTTTAACAAACGGAGAGCAGTGATCAATGATAGATTTTATAATCACAAATCGACTGATAACACCGTCACAAGTATTTATGTCAGAGCCCTAACATCTGCTAACCTGGGGACCGATCACAACCTTGTTTTATGCAAGATGCTACTAGAACGTCCGCAACGAAACAGAAAACCCCCAATGCTCATCGACAAACACAATATAGAGTCGCTAGCAACAGAAAGTACAAAACTCCTTGATGAGAACAGGATTACCAGCAAACTAAAAGAGATCGAGTTACAACCAGAATGGGAAGTAGAAGATACTTGACAAAAAATCAGGAAATGCATCAACAAAGCAGCAGAAGAAGCAATTGGAAAGCTTAAAATTGACACGAGGGCGATAAACCACACCAAACCGTGGTTTTGCTAAGAGGTAAAAGAACTCTCTGAATTTAAAATGCAAATGCTACCTGAGGTATAAAAGCACACAATCGGAAGAAGCTCTCGCAGAATATGTCCACGTAAGAAACGAAGTGAACGCAAGAATAAAATCAATCAAAAGAAAACATTGGGCTAAATTCACCAGCGACATGGACTACGACCTACATGGTGCCCAAAAGAAAGTATGGAAAATGCTTTGGAACAGGAAAAATCAGTTAACGAGTTCGTACATGCCAAGAAAGTACCTATACAGACATGGCAATAGAAATTTAAAGAACTATATTATGCTGAAGAAACGCTGAATATATACGAAGCAAAGATCAAGAAGCTAAAAAACAGAAAATCACCTGGAACAGATGGTATACCCAATGAATTCTTAAAAGATGGAGGCCCTGAACTTTCAAGTAAACTGTCACAACTATTTAACAAAATCTTAAACGACACAGAAACACCAGAGGAATGGCATAAGAGCATCACAATCCCTATATTTAAAAGAAAATATCAAAAAACTTTCCCACAAAACTACTACAACGATGAAACTTTTCACGAGTATTCTTATGAACAAATTGGAAAGGCAAATCACTAATGGTGAAGAACAAGGTTTTACAAGAGAGCGATCTATAACAGATGCAGTATTCATAATAAAACAAATAAAAGAAAAAGCTATAGAGTTCGGCATGCCAGCGTATACTTGCTTCATTGATCTGACAAAGGTGTTTGATAGGGTTCGCCTGGGAGACATTCTAAATATATTAATAGAAAATAAAACACCGACCAACACAAAAAAGATAGTCCATAACCTAAATAACAACAATGTAACCAAAGGTAGAGGAGGAGACCAATTCACTGAAAATATTCCAACACCTGGATGAATTAGACAAGGCGACAGTTTAAGCCCCTTCTTGTTTAACCTACTCATAGGCAAAATTATCAACAAAGTAACATCTCTCAATCTTGGACACAGAATGGGCAACAAAAGAATTGTTATTGCGTGTTACGCAGATGATACAGCAATTAGTGCCGAATCAGAAGATGATCTTCATAGGCAGCTCTTTCACTTCTTTCAAATAAACTGCCAACTAAATATGACCGTTTCTACCAACAAAACTAAATGTATGACAATAGCAAAAATCCGCTGAGATGTAAGTTAGTGGTTTGGAACAACCCCATAGAAGAGGTGATGCAATTCAGATATCTGGACATAGATATATCCAGCACTCACGACCCAGTAAAGGACCTAAGGAGTCAGATCAACAAAACATCTGCATTGTCAGGATGTCTGAGGGAGATAGTCTTGTCAAATCCGTATATGCGCACAGGAAGATTGTAAGATGGGGAAGGCAGCGTAAGAGGATGTGGTACAATCATGTAAGACCAATGGATGGGAATAGACTCCCAAAAATTGCTCTAGAAAACAACCCTCCTGGTTTAAGACCTCCCGATAGACCACCTAAAAGATGGAGAGGTAGTTGGCAATCTCATCATCATTCAGCCCATACTCGTCCACTGCTGAACATAGGCCTCTCGTAGTTCACCCCACAAATTTCTGTCCTGTGCCGCCTGCATCCAATTTTGATGTGTCCGTTTCAGGTCATCCGTCCATCTTGTTGGTGGTCGTCCTCTATTTCTAAAGGCATCTTGTCTGGGTCTCCACTCAAGAATGCGTTTTGTCCATCTGCCGTCCTTCGTTCTCGCGACGTGCCCTGCCCAGTTCCATTTTAAGGTTGATATTCTTTTGATTGCGTCGGTTACTCCCGATCTACGGCGCAATTCTGTGTTGGGTATTCGGTCTCTCAGGGTTAATCCCAACATGGACCGTTCCATTGCCCTCTGTGTTGTTCGAATTTTGTTTGCGGACGTCTTAGTAAGTGTTAGCGTCTCCGCACCATAGGTTAGAACTGGCAGCACACATTGATCGAAGACTTTTCTCTTCAAGCAGATGGGAAGGGCTGATTGGAAAACATCTCTTAGCTTTCCATAAGCTGCCCATGTCAACCCTATTCTACGTATTAGTTCATTGGTCTGGTTATCTCTACTTAAGCGAATTTCGTGTCCCAGATATTTGTATGCTGATGTTTGTTCTATACTTGTTCCAGCTATGTTGATGTTCTCACTCAGAACAAGGTTTGTCATCACTTGTGTTTTTGAGTTATTGATCTTTAAACCCACTTATGTAGAGGCAAGGTAGTAGTCTTTCGCACATTTCGAGATCATGATCTATGCGGTCTGTTATCAGGACTATATCGTCCGCGAACTTGAGGTGACTAAGCTGCTCTCCATTTATGTTTATGCCCTTTTCGTCTAGGTTTGCACGCTTACACATGTATTCCAATAATGTTGTAAACAGTTTTGGCGAAATGGTGTCGCCCTGGCGAACTCCGCGATGAATTTTGAACTTGTGTGTATCTTCATGAAGTCTGACGCATGCCGTGGCATTATCATAGATATTTTTGATGACAGTGGTGTAGCGGTGATCTATTCGGCACTCTTTTAAAGCTTCTAGCATTTTCTGGTGGTTTACTGTGTCGAATGCTTTCTCATAATCCACAAATATTAGGACGAGGGGTTTATTGTACTCTATACATTTTTCGATGAGGCTTTTAATAACTTGTAGATGGTCGTTTGTGCCGAAGCCTGACCTGAATCCTGCCTGTTCGCATGATTGGTAAAAGTCCATTTTGTTCGAAAGTCTGTTTGTTATGACTTTTGTAAAAAGCTTGTATATGTGTGAGATGAGGCTGATTGGTCTATAGTTTACGAGATTTGTTAAATCTCATTTCTTTAACATTAGGATGATCACTGCATTTTGCCATTGTGATGGTGTTGTTCCTCTTTCAAGGCATTCTGTGAAAAGTATGGAAAGCATTTGTATCAGTTTCTCGCCTCCTAATTTTATGGCTTCGGCAACGACCCCGTCGTCGCCAGGTGACTTGTTATTTTTCATTTGTAGGAGAGCTTTTTTGATTTCATCAACAGTAACATCTGGTATGTCTTCCGAGCACTGGTTTAGAACCTTTGGTATGTTGTCAGTTGGAACATTCTCTTCTGTTTGCAATCTACCTCCCAGGAAATTAACCAGGGACAGCTTCAGAATTAAATAGATCGAAAGATCTCCAAGAAGTAGAAGAAGATAGCAGAGCACAAATTTGCTTTCAATAATACTAGACCGCGATTCACCTTCTAGACCATCATCATTATTTTAATAATTTCAAATCGTTCACATTTAAAAGGTCTTAAGCTATCTTTATTAGAATCTATGGAAATTAATAAATTAAAAAATACAGACATAATTCTGAATGACTAACTTGAGACAAACAATTCTCCCCTTCTCAACGTATTTACAGTTGTAGTTATACTTTTGTGGAAGTTTTGGAAAACATAAGTTTTCGGTGTTTTATTGTTAGATAAAATGAATTTCCATCAAGTAACCATCAGTATTAATATATACCTGAAATCAAGGTTCTTTTTAATAAAACTAATAAAACAAATTTCAAAGAAATGTGATCTTAATGTATCAATCTAATCGTACAGTTATCAGCGAATTGGAATAAACCAAATACATTTCATCCCTATTTAAAAATTATTAACGCTCCCAAATTTCAATTTACTATTTTTTGTTGAGAACTGGCTATTCCTAACAAAAAATTCTAAATTGCATTAAGGTGCCACAAAAAATAGATTCCTAAAAAGTTCAGTTATAAAATTTTTGAACTTTGATCAAATGAAAAGGCAGATATCGAGCACAGTTTATTAATTAAATCTTGCCCAAGTAATTTCTTCAATATACTCACAATCAAACATGTACACCCAGTAAGTATTAACCAAACTTTTTATAATAATCTTAAAACTCTCTCAAAAACCAAAATTTTAACTTTTACGTTTGATTTAATTAAAGTGGTTATACTTGTTAGGATAGCACTGATGATGGAATATTAATTCCGAAAACGTTCTGTGGTGTAGCCCGATAAGGTTTTTAATATTATACCTTTTAAAAAGGAATTTTTTTTAATAATGATTTGTTGGTAAAGAGAAAAAATTCGACGATTTCATAATAAGTAACGGTATTTTTTATTTATAATTCATAACCAAATCCCAATAAATATCAATAACAAAACCTTTTTTTCAGACGAATCTTAGAAAACTACCTAGAACGATGTCATCTGTACCTGGTCTGAACCTAAAAAGTATATGAAAAAGCAGTATTCAATACCGAGCTGTACCACCTACTTGCTCACAGTACAAAACCATGTTACACGACAAAGTGAAAGTTAGACTATACCCTTTCAGTAATTATTCAAAACAGACGTACGAAAAAGAAGCGTAACATCAAAATTTACGGATATGCCAGGATTGGTGGTTTTCAGAAGAAGATGGAGTGTAGGTTCAGACGATCTGGTTGTACCAGGAGTGTTCCTTTTTACAGTACATTTAATATGGTGAGAATGCTTTATTTATATCCAAATTAGTGTAGTTATTTCAGTGCTAGTGATGGATTAGTCAATTAATTATTCCTTTTCTAGCTTAAGGACCAAAATGAGAACTTACTTATTAGGATTAAATATTTTTTTATATCCAATTACCTTTGTCGTAGAAACCTCATATCTGATACCAGTGTCGTAAAATTTTACACGTTTAGACTTTAGAAATTTTGCTCATCTGCGCAGAGAGTAGACAGAAAAAGTATTCGGTGAGAAAGATGGATGAGGACCGGGCTTTACCTGCTTTTTAAACATCGTGTACTGGTCTAGTTAACTTCCCTTACTAAGATCTTCTTATTCTTACTGTGCCTATCCGTTCCGGATGTTGGCGATCAGCATAGCTATCCTAACTTTGCTTGCAGCTATTCGGAATAGTCCGGTTGTAGACATATTGAACCACTTCCTTAGGTTTTGAAGCCAAGATATTCTTCTCCGTGGTCCTCTCTTTGCAAATACCGTGCCCTGAAGAATGAGTTGCAATAAGCTATATCTGTGTTCATTTCTCATGACATAGCCAAGATATTCTAATTTGCGTTCTTTGATTGTATTAGTGATCTCGCATTCCTTGCCCATTCTACGTATGAGCTTAATATTAGTCACACGATACTTCCATGAAATTCGTAAGATGTGCCTGTAACTCCACATCTCGATGGCCTCGAGCTTTCCTAAAGAAGCTTCCGAGAGCGTCCATGCTTCTATTCCGTATAATAATGTAGAACATACATAGCATCTGATAGAGATTGTGGTACTTGATCTTGCTTTCCCTATGCGTTGTTTTGTTTCAGTAGAGTGGTCCCATTGACTTTTATGTTAGTACCAAGATATGCTCCGTTCGGCTCGCGGAGATAAGAATACGGCCGAGGCCAGAAGACCCTGCCCGTCCTAAGAGGCGACTAATGGGCGAGAAATGAGAGGTGGAGAGCCGTCGTTTGAGGTGTCGGGTTTGTGGAAACGCACTCGAGATGCATAGCCATCTCTATTCGCATCAAAAAAATATTAAATATTAAACTGTAACCGCTTGGAGCATTCCAGAAAGGTCAGTACCACCATCACTATACAAGCGGCGTCATTTTAAAATTTATCACGGCTCGGTCCTTTCGGCCGACACACGTGTAGTCCTGGGTTAAGAAACTTAATTAGCGGCATTGGAAAGATCAAAGATTGAAGTTTTAAGGTACACAGTTTGAAAAAGATTGATTTGAACAGAGTCGTACGAAGCTTCAAAATGAGGAGCTCCAATCATTTAGCTTGGAGTAGTGGAGGGATTACTTAAAATTCACGCTATAATCAATTTGACGTTTCTTTTCACTTTGTACTTTTTTTCGTAGATTACAATTATGCTTTTTGTTAATCAATGTAATGTTAAATTAGCCATGTAAATTGTTTAAACAGTTTTCGGCAAAAAAAAAGTGAACGATATTGTTAGAACGACTATTGTTAGATAAAAGTGAACGATTTCAATACGATATTATTTACCTACAAGTACAAATATTTATCAAATTACACGTTTACCATATTTTAGAAAAAAAAAGAATTTTCTTAATTTTACCATTTGCAATTTTCACCCAGCAAAAATTGCAATGTTTTTGGAATCAAGTTTTGGAATGTTTTAAACGATTTTTTTTTCAATTATTTTAATAGAATAACTCTCTCTCCCTCTGGCTTATGCTACCCTTCTTCTTCCTCTTCTTCTTCTTCCTTCTTGTATGTAGGCTTTAAAGCCTGTTTCTTCTTCAATATTAGCCTCCTAAATTGTTTAAATTATCGCACCATCGTTTTTTGGGTCTGCCAACACTTCTTTGTCCATTATTTTGAGAACGATTTCAGAAGTGAAAATTGAAACGTCAATAAACTTATTTTAACCTTCAATTGTGGCTTATTCCCAATAAAATAGCATCCATTTATGTCTTCTATATTGCATGCTCTTTTTATATTTTCGCTTCTCTCTTTATCCAACAAACTTTTCCCTGATATTCGTCGTAGTATTTTCATCACTGTTGTTTTTAGTAGTCGTCTCGTTTTAGATGTGTCAGGTCTTGTCTCAGCCGTGTATGTTAATATTGGTCTAATTGCTGCTTTATAGATTCTCGTTTTTTTGTCTTGGTTCTTCTTTAACATCTCCGTTTTATATATTTCCAGATATCTAAACCTTGACTCCTCCTTTATTATTTTCCCATCAATTTTGATTTTACATCGTAGTGGGTATTTAGATGTTGTCATACATTTGGTTTTTCCGATGATATTATCATATTGTATTTCTTGGCTGTTGTATTAAAGATATGTTAATCTTTGGAGCTCGTCTTGTGTCTCTGCGATTAATGCGGCGTCGTCTGCATAACATAATATTTGGATTACCTTGTTTCCCATTCTGTAGCCATGACCTTTACGTACTGCTTGAATTATTTCCGTCCATTATTATATGAAAGAGAAGTGGGCTCAACGAGTCACCTTGTCTGACTCCGCTTTGTACTGGTATACACTGTGTTAGTTTTCCATTTATCTTTGCCTGTATTCGATTATGGAAGTAGATGTTTTCGATGGTTTGTATAATATTGATGGGTATGTTTCTTTTATACAGTAGGTGTAAGACTTCTTTGACTTGGATGCGATCGAAAGCCTTTGTTAGGTCTATAAAACATAGATATGCTGGTTTATTTCATAGATACATAGAAGAGATAGATAGATACATAGATATTTCGCCACAACAAGATCCAGTTTCCTATCTCTCTAATTCAAAAAACATTGCTGATACCTTCTTTTTAAGACCAGTTGATAAGACGGAACTCATTTCAACAATTCGTAGTATAAAAAGCACATCGTCCTGTAGTACAGATGGATTATCTATTAAAATTTTCTCAAATCTACCGCCTAATGTTTTGGAGGTCATGGTCTCGCTAGTAAATGATTCCCTTGAAAAAGGTACATTCCCTAACTGTCTAAAGACTGCCATCGTCATTCCTCTTCATAAAGGTGGAAAAAAATCTGATGCCTGCAACTATAGACCTATTGCCTTGTTACCAGCACTATCAAAAATTATTGAAAGACTTATAAAAGTTCGACTTATGCCCTTTCTCCTTAAATATAATATTTTATCGCAAAATCAGTTCGGCTTTTTGTCTAATAAATGCACTAGTGATGCCATATTTTCTGTGTTACATGATGTATATCTATCACTAAACAGTAACCTCTCCTCCGCCACCGTTTTCTGCGACTATTCCAAAGCCTTTGACTGCGTAAATCACGACATTCTATTAAAAAAATTAACTTTCTATGGAATTTGGGGTGTGTCTTTGAACTGGTTCAAAACTTACTTGGTAGGTAGGAAACAATTGGTTAGAATAAATGACACCGACTCTAGTTGTAAAGATACTGAGTGTGGAGTACCGCAAGGTTCAGTATTAGGTCCCATTCTTTTTTTACTTTTCATTAATGACATCACTTACTTGAAAATTAAAGGGAAAATTTTTCTATTTGCTGATGATACCAGTATTACTTGGAGCAGTTCTGATATTTCAACGCTTCATTCAATTATAACCGCTGATTTACTTTTAATCAAGGCTTGGTCAGACTCCAACTTACTTAGCTTTAACGTGGATAAGACTATAGCATTATCTTATAAAGGAGTCATGCAACCCTTGCTTTTGAATGAGAGCCAAATCAATATCGTAAATTCCGTGAAATTTCTAGGTATTCTCATTGACAGTGATCTCAAATGGTCCTTGCATACTGACTCCTTAAGGAAGAAACTAGCCTCAGCTTACTTTGCAATAAGATCTGTTTCGAAGGAACTAAATTTATCTTCTGCCAAAATGGCATATTTCTCATTGTTCGAGTCCCATCTTCGATATGGGCTTCCATTTTGGGGTTCTAGTACAGCAGCCCAATTTGATACTATTTTTAAGTTGCAAAAAAGAGCAATCCGTTATCTATTTGGTCTCAAACAAACAACTCATTGCAAGACCTACTTCAAAAATCACGGAATTTTGACGCTTCCCTCTTTATTTATTTTGGAAACGGTTTGTGTGATTCGAAAGCATCTAAACATTTTTCCCGATAGACCTGACCATGGCTACTCCATTAGAAATTCGGATTGTAACGTTTATTTGCCGATCCCGTCCACTAAGCTAGTAAAGAATTCTATTCTATATCGTGCAAAGAAACTTTATAATCACCTTTCAAAAGAAATTAAATCCGCAACATCCTTCATTAAGTTTCGTAAGGTGACAAAAATCTATCTCTCAGAAAGACCATATTATTCAGTTGACGAGTTTCTTAATGTATAACAAAGAAACAAAATTAGTATTGTTTATTACATTTGGGTGTCTCAAGCAGTGGCTACAATTTGTCTCATTTGTTGTTGTCTGTACAAACTATGTAGGTTATACAATAATTTTAATTGTGTTATACTGTTTTTTACTATATTTGTTTATGTTTTATACTTTTTGTACTATTTGACTGATTTATTTTTTAGCTTTGTCCATAAAATTGTTCAATAATTTTCAGTGACAATAAAGCATATTTCTATTCTATTCTATTCTACTCGATGGCTTTTTCTTTGATTTGTCTTAGTACAAATACGGCGTCTACGCAGGATCTTCCGGATCTGAATCCTTGTTGTTCATCTGATAAACTTGTCAGTTTATTGATTTTGTTGGTTAGGACTTTAGTGGTAAGCTTAAGTGTGGTGGTAAGTAGATTTATACCTCTATAATTGTTGGAGTCTTTTTTATCTCCTTTTTTAAACATTTGTATAATTATGCTGTTTCTCCATGCGTCTAGTATCTTGCAGTGCAATATTAGTTTTTGTATAAGTTTTGCCATCTCTAAGGTTATACTTTCTCCTCTGTGTTTTAGAAGCTCGTTGATTATTTTGTCTGGTCCTGGCGACTTTCTATTTTTGAGTGACTTTATGGCTATTTCATGTCCTAATTCAGGTACGTTATTGTGTTGATTATTATTTTCCTTTCCTTTAAACAGTTCCGTCAGATATCTTTCCCATTCGTTTGCTGGTATGTTATTGTATTTCTTCAATTCTGCCATTTCTTTTCGTTGGTTTCTTATGACTCTCCATGTTTGTTTTTGTGTACCGTAGAAGTCGCTTGTCGACTTGTCTAAATGTCGACATTAATATTCGTATCTATAACAAACATATAGAACCAGTACAAAAATTCCAGTATCTTGGTTGCTGGGTAATAAACGATCTTGACCACTATTCTTTGTTTTAAGTTAAGAAAATAACATTACGCTTATGGAGATCAGTGTTGCCAAAACTCTCAGACACTCTCTTTTGCACGGATGTCCAAGATATTCGCTTTGCTTAATTTTTGAATTTTCATTTTCAATTAACATTTAACTGTAAAGTCAGAATAACTACTAAATAAAAGCCTTATTATCATTATGTAGTCAGAGAACGACATAAAATAGCTGACATACGCACATCGTAGTATTTTAAGTTGCAATTAGTAATTAGATATACGCATTCCAAGCCCAAGCGGTCAATATTTTCTACTGATTTCTATGATTCATGGCATATCGTATTCTCACCGAAAAACAAATAAACTGTCGTTACTATAATTAAAATAAGATAAAATAAAATTATCTTATATAAATACTATTTATCTAATTAAAATCATTTTCCCTACTTTTCATCTCTTGTTTCGAATGGGCACTTTTGGTCAATTACGTTAAAAAACATTAATTTAATTCATGTTTGTGGAAACAAAAATACAATATATACAACCCTAAATTGTGCTTGTGTGTGTGTCGTGGCAACGCCGCGTTGCTATCGTCCATAAGAAATACATGGCCCTATCTCCGCAATGTTATTTTCTAAAGGTGGACCGTAGTATAGGTCGAAATACGTGCTCGTATAGAATATGCTAGGTCCGCATTTCAACAAATGAAAAAATTCTTAATAAATTCTACGTTATCGTTGGATATCCGATACCAATTTGTAAAAACCTTTATTTATTCCATATTGCTATACGGAGTATAAACATGGACTCTCGGAATTACAAGTATGAGGCGTATAGAAGCCTTTGAGATGTGGGTTTTTCGAAGGATACTGAAGATCTTTTGGACAGAGTGACCAACAACGAGGTGCTTAGAAGAATGGATACCGAGGGAGAACTCCTAAATATTGTGAAAAATAGAAAAACGAGTTATCTAGGACATATTTACAGAGGAGAAAAATACAACTTCCTACTTCCATTCGATACTAAGAACAGCTCAAGATAGAGAGCAATTTGCTGTAGTTATAGCCAACCTTCAGTAATGGAGAAGGCACCTTAAGAAGAAAAAGAAGAAGTCGCTTTTCACCCTTTTTGTAAACTTTTCCCAATGTTAATTTTTTGTTCTTACCAACTGCTTTGTTTCATTTCGTATTCTTCTATAGTTGTCTCGGGATTCTGAGGTATTTGATGTTTTGTACTTCGTGTAGGCCTCTCGTTTCTCTTTACATTTCTCTTTTATTTCTTTTCTAAACCATGGTGTATTGTTGTTTTTAATTTTCTCCACAGTTTCTACATTGAATTTTTCCTCCGTGATTTCCTGTAGAAATTGTTTTGGTGTTACTTTTATTCTTATCTTTGCTAGTAGTTTGTGTTCACTCCCTGTGTCGGTTAATTTTAAGGTTCGGATATCTAGAATCTGCTTTGGGTAGATTTTTCTATTAGTTACTAAAAAATCAATCATAGATTTGTGCCCTCTGGAGTTTTCGAATGTATATTTCTACTGGAGCTTATGGTCCATGGTTTATGGAAAAATGTATTATTGATTCTCAGTTTGTAAAAATCACAGAGATTATCCATGAGTTCTTTATTTGCATTGACATGGTTTTCATTAAATCTTTGTTTTACTCCTGGAACTAATTCATTTTCGATTCGTGCATTAAAGAAAAAAAATTAACTTACAATAATTCTACGAGTAGCAACTTACAATAATTCTACGAACAATTGCAAACCGTCCTGGATGGAACACCTCATGAAGAACCCTTAATTCTTATGGGTGATATGAATTAATGGTTCTTCATGAGGTGTTCCATCCAGAATGGTTTGCAATTGTTCGTAGAATTATTGTAAGTTAATTTTTTTCTGACTTATGTTTGAATAGTTTTTGAAACTAATTGATGAATCATTTTGAACTATTGAAGGTAAAGAAAGATATTTCTGTCCTTTTCCCTTCAAACTCCTAATTATCTCGACAGATATTCTATCCTGTATAGTATTCCTTGATCATAAAATAAATATACGAATTAATTAGACCACAGGGCTTTTATCCTTACCATCCCCTAAATTGTTTATGTTTTGTTTTAAAGTTTGTAGACAGCATTTTTTATAGCTTCTGGCCATTTGTCGTATTTATTTCTAGTAAGTTTATATTAGGTATTTAGAAAGAAATACCAGAATTTCAGTTTTCGCTTAATTATCGCGTGTCGATCGTGTTTCTTGCGGCTCATTGAAAAATTACTTAAACATATTTTAAAATATCAATATTTGTTTCAGGACCATTATATTGAGTGTAGTACTCTTCCTACTGAAGTACGACAGAAGCGTTCAATGTATTTTCTTAATGTGGGGTTTAATTGTAGGATACCTAGCACTTTTAATTCTTTCCATGGTCACCGAACTATGCATTTGTGTAGTGGCCATGCGTGGAAGCATACTAGATACAGGCAAAAGGGCCTCGATGCAGTACATACTCTACCTCAGACTAAGTAAGTTAAATTTAAAAGAATGATTGTTAAACTATTATTTTACATTCGATTTTTTACCGAGTAATAAGGTCACAGTTAAGTATTCACAATTCATTTATACTTTGCATATAGTCGACCAGACTGGAAGACCTCGTACCTGACTTTCAATAAAATGTTTAGAAGATTAAAATTATGTTTTTTCTTATTTTTGTACACCACTAATGAAAATTTGTTATATGTTTTTGGTCTTGTATGTAATTATCAACATACATGTTTATATGTATTAATTACCCGTAAGTACTTATGGTCTAAAAATAAAACAGTTTATAAGGTTTTATTCTAGAAATCAGAAGGTTTTATTAAATTAAACTAATTATTTTATTTACGATAATTAATCGAGTAGTATTTTAAACTGAGAACGAAAACATTTATTTTAAATGGCAAAGGCTTTTGAAACTAAAAATAATGTGGAATTTAAACTAAATTAAACAAATAGCATAGCCCTATCACCAATTGTTCATATCCTCCCAAATATCGTTAACCAAAAAGCAATATTTAGTGTAAAAATTTTCGTAAAAGTTCTAAAACTGTTCGTATGACACTGATTTCAATTAATTAAGTTGGGTGTATTTTTCTTCGTTATTTTCGGTGGAGATTTATATAGCAGATCTAATTCCTCGTTTTTGGTCTACTAAGTAATCCGGTCCATTCTTCATCTTAGTTGATTTTAAATTTTATTTCATCTGATGGTAACTACGTAAGAGCAGTTTCATTTATTCAGTTATTCCCAAGTACTTTCCATACAACGATTGATATTTCTCAATGTGCATTTTTCTCATTAGTGATATTGTTCGATGTTTTGAACATTCTTTTGCATAAACATTCTTTGTTAACGTAACAAATGTAGATAGCAACCATTTTTGTGGTACAATTCCGGTATTATATATTCTGTTAAATATGTCTGGGAATAAACTTACTGATTTATCATCCATTATCTTTAATAATTCAGTTGGAAACCAGACTAGTCCATTTGCTTTTCCGTCAGATTTTGGAATTTTTAATTGCTAGTTCCTACTCCTTCTTTTATAATTTCGGATCCCGTACCACCATTTAATTGGCTAATGTTGTTTTTGCTATCTCTGTTGTCTTCTTCTTTTTATGCAGAGATGACTCTGTCTGTTTAAATGTGCCTCCAGTAAGTTGTCGTGCCATCGTTTTTGTGGTCTGCCTACTGATCGTCTTCCTATTGGAGAACCGTATCTTGCGTCTTTACTTCTCGATTTGTTGTCATTCGGCTTATATGATCGTTCCATTCTACACTTCTATTTCATACCCAGTTCTTGATGTTCTCCACCTTGCATCTACGTCGTCAGCTCTACTTCTAGCTGTGTACCATAGTATTTTACCATGAATTTTTTTAAGTGGTTTTCATCTCTGCTGTTTCTAAAGTCCTTTTTGTCCTGTCTGTGTTAGGTCGTGTTTCTACCGCGTATGTCATTATTGGTCTGATGATTGTTTTGTAAATTCTGCCTTGCATTGCTTTCCCGATATTTTTATTTCTCCATATTGTTTTATTCAGGCAACCTGCGACTCTGTTTTCTCTACTTACTTGATCTTCCACTTCTGTTTCGAACTTTCTGGAGCTAGATAATGCGATTCCTAGATATTTAAACTCCATCACTTGTTCTATTATCTTACCTTCCAGCTCCAATTTACATTTAGTAAATTTGCTGTTGCAACCATGCATTCTGTTTTTATTTGGAAGATTATGTTAAATTTTCTAGAGGTTTATTAAATTGGTGCAACATACGTTGTAAATCATCTTCACTTTGAGGGAGTAGTGTTGCGTCGTCTACAGAGCAGATCATTTGAAGTTGTTTTTCTCCCATTTGGTATCCTTTTTTAGTTCTTACTTTTTTTGTTATTTTATCTATAATCAGGTTGAACAAAAGAGAACTCAGGGAATCTCCTTGCCTTATCCCATTGCCAGCTTCAATAGGGTCGGTTAGTTCTTCTTCTACTTTTACTTTTATTGTGTTGTTTTGGTAGATATTTTCGATCGTTTTGATTAATCCTAGAGGTATTTTCTTGCGTACAATAAGTGGATAACGTCCTTTCATTTGATCCGGTCAAATGCCGTATTAAAGTCCACGAAACATAGATATTTGCCGGTTTGTTGTATTCTAATTATTTCTCTTTCTCTTGCCTCATTATAAATAAAGCGTGAGTACAGGATCTTCCCGACCTAAAACCGTGTTGTTCTTCTGCTAGTGTTATAATTTCATTAAATTTATTGGTTATCACTGTGTTTGCTAATTTTAATATTCTGTTTAATAAATTAATTCCCCTGTAATTTTCCGGGTCCGATTTGTCTCCATTTTTAAAGAGAGTTATTAGGATACTTGATCTCTATTCTTGAGGAATTCTTTTTCGTTGTATTATCTCTGTTGTCAGAGTTGTTGATTTGATTTTTCGCTCCACTGAGATTATCATTTATTTCTTCTTGTGCTGTGTGTCGTAGATGTTTATTTTTAAGCGGGTTTTTAACGTGTTTTTTATAACTAAATCTTCAAATTCAGAAGTAAACGATCTTCTGTTTCATTTTAATACCTAATCCACATCCACCAATATGCTCATTAACTTATCCTGTTCAGTTTGGCGTTTAGATCTCCCATTACTATGTCAATGTGTTTTTTGTTTGTTGTCCTCATCACTTCTTCCAAGCTCTTATGGAATTGTTCTATTTGTATAATGTAGTAGAATGTAGGAGGATATATTTGTATAATGTTCCCTTTGTTAGTTGTACTAATTTATCATTATCAGTTGCATTAAAATTACCTTCAGTTCTTATAATATTATGCGCTCTTAGATGTAAAATTTGGTACAGCATTTTTCCATTTTTTTGTGATGATGATTTCCATTTATTGGCCATCGTGTCACTCATATCTAATATATGTGTAAATATGTCCATTTCTGACACTGCGATATCCAATTTTCCTGAAGGTAATAAGTTTCTTATATTCCAGGTTGCTATTTTTATGGATACATTTTTCTTATTTCTCTTATTGCAAGGATTTTCCATGTTGACGACCGTCGAAGCTTTGCATTCTATTGTTTGTCTGCCTCTGCTTGATCATTGTCTCCGATTTCCATTATCAATACCGATAATACTTCCTCATTGTACGTTTGCCATGATGATATAGGGGTACTCTATGAGCATTTAATGCAGTGATTCCACTTTGCTTTCAACATCTATATGCCGTTGATCTTGGTTCATTCGCCTTCGAAATCAATTTCTTAATTTTAGAACAAAAGAGTGCCCTACCAGTTACTAACTTCGCCCGAAGCCGTTGGTTACTAAGTGGAAGATTACTGATATCGGCTTTTCAACAGGGTTAGTACTGAAATAATAATGAATTTGTTTTCACGTTTCGACTTTTAATCCGGAATTCGTTTTCAAAATATTTTAAAATAAAAATTATTAATGATCTTCTGTACACTTTTAAAATTTAAGATAGATTGTATTAAAAATTTGACAATTGACTTTCTAGGCCTCGATCTTGTAGGCATTAGACGTGTTTTGAGTAAAGGGACACTGTTAAAGACACTCAAAGACATCAAGACCACTAAGTGTTAAGATAAATGAGCCCAGTTATGAAAACATGCCTGTGATAATGAGCAGAGTGTGCAATGGATTTGCACACTGTGCAGTATGATGCAGCAGACTTGGGTTGCTACGACTTAAAGAAGAAGTCAGCAATAAAAATATACCAACATTAACGAGTTAATAGCAGGATAGGCATACCTCATCTATAACTATATAAGCTTGGAATTTGATGTCAATCGGAGAGTACAACACCTCTATAATTTTACTGAAAATTTAACTAATGCGTATAATGTTTACCTCTCCGTTATATAGTTTACTTCGAGGACATCGGACGTGTATTTTTGCAAATTTTATACCTTTTGATCCCAAATTTCAAGACTCCACCGCCTCTCTATTCGGAGGAGTTATCTGTAATTTTGGTGGCCTTTGACCTTTTGATTTCAAATTGAAGTGGTTCATCCTTTGACCAAGAGAAACCTATGTACCAAGTCTCAAGGACGTCTCTAGCACATTTCCATCAAGAATTATCACAAAGATAAATAGACAATACGATTTAAAGAAGAACAAGTATGCTTATTAATAACCATAAACGATATATATATATATATATATATATATATATATATATATATATAATATATATATATATATATATATATATATCATTTCAAAAGCTGTAAAGAATAAGTTACCCAATATCTCACCAGGTGGATCTCACCAAAAGTCAACAAACAATATTTAACCGGCTCCTTAAGTTAATAATAATGCTCTATTATTTTAGCTGTGATGATCATAGAAGCTGCGTGGCTATCAGCAGGAATAGCCTGGCTAGTCAAATATTATTTAGATTGCCCCGCAGATAACGCCAAGGAATTTGTTATAGGTAAGTTTTAAAAAACATAACTTTGCATCAATCTTAGTATCAATCGAAAATTATCCACCACTTTTTTTTTAAATTATCTGGGATTAGATCTACAATCAATTTACATTGTTTAAAAAAATTATAAGTAAAATAATAATTATTATATTATTTTTTAGTAATGGTGATTTTCAATTGGTGCATATTATTCTCGGTTATAATAACAGTATGGTGTACTTACGACAGTGCCGGGCGTTCATGGGTAAAGATGAAACAGTACCAAAGATCTATGCGGGAGTCAGAATCAAAGTTCCAGTACAAACGATCAGGTAGCACAAGGAATTGGAGACAAAGGTTTGTAAAGTTTAATTAACATTCATTTTCTACATGTTTCCTGTTTATACGGTTTCGTAAGTTTTTATATATCCATTCTAGCATCTGTGGACTCCAGTGACACATGTCTGCAATGTAGCTAACTCAAAATTTTTATACACTTATAAATCTAAAATCAGACATATATGTATACATATACATGAGATCATTTTCTTATAAATATTAAACGAGGGTGATAAACTATACCAAACCTTGGTTTTGTCAAGAGGTAAAAGAACCGAATTAAAACGCAAATACTACCTGAGATCTAAAAGCACACAATCGGAAGAAACTCTCGCAGAATATGTCCAAGTAAGAAACGAAGTAAACGCAAGAATAAAATTAATCAAAAGAGAAAGTTGGGCTAAATTCACTAGTGAAATGGACTACGACCTACATGGTGCCCAAAAGAGAGTATAGAAAATGCTTCGGAACAGGAAAAAACCAGTTAACGAGTTCGTGCAGACCAAGTGCTACAATAAATGACGAAGAGGTAGAAGCAAAGATCAAGAAGCTATGAAACAGAAAATTACCTGGAACAGATGGTATACCCAATGAACTTTTAAAATATGGAGGCCCTGAACTTGCAAGTAAACTGTCACAACTATTTAACAAAATCTTAAACGACACAGAAACACCAGAGGGAGCACCAGAACATAAGAGCATCACAATCCCCATATTAAAAAAAAAGACAAAAAACTTGCCCACAAAACTACAGAGGAATAACCCTCTTAAATACAACGATGAAACTTTTCACGAGTATTCCTAAGGACAAATTGGAAAGGCAAATCACTAATGCTGAAGAACAACAAGGTTTTACAAGAGGGCGGTCTATAACAGATGCAATATTCATAATAAAACAAATAAAAGAAAAAGCTACAGAGTTCGGCATGTCAGCGCATATTTGCTTCATTGATCTGACGAAGGCGTTTGACAGGGTTCGCCTGGGAGACATTCTAAATATATTAATAGAAAATAAAACACCGACCAATATAACAAAGAAGTCCATTACCTAAATAACAACAATGCAACCAAAGTTAAAGCATGTGACCAATTCACTGAAAATATTTTAACACCGGGAGGATTAGACAAGGCGGCAGTTTAAGCCCCTTCTTGTTTAATCTACTCATGTGCAAAATTATAAACAAAGTAACATCTATCAATCTCGGATACAGAATGGGCAACAAAAGAATTGGTATGGTCTGTTACGCAGATGATGCAGCAATTATTGCCGAATCAGAAGATGATCTTCAGAGACAGCTCTTTCAGTTTTTTCAAATACGCCGCCAACTAAATATGACCATTTTCTATCAACAAAACTAACTGTATGACAATAACAAAAGATCCGCACAGATGTAAGTTAGTGCTTGAGAACAACCCCATAGAACAGGTGATGCAATTCAGATATCTGGACATAGATATATCAAGCACACACGACCTAGTAAAGGACCTAAGGAGTCAGATCAACAAGGCATCCGCATTGTCAAGATGTCTGCGGGAGATAGTCTGGTCAAATCCGTATATGCGCACAGATAGTAAAATTAGAATCTACAAGACTTGGATACGACCGATCATGACATACGGCATAAAAGTGCTCGAAGATACCAACAAAACGAAACAGATACTAAGGGTTACCGAAATGAAAACCCTAAGAACAATAGTGGGCAAAACAAAAAGAGATAGGCTGAGAAATACAAACGTTAGAGAGCAGTGTCAAATTCCAGATATTGTAAGATGGGGAAGGCAGCGTAAGAAGATGTGGTACAATTATGTAACGAGAATGAATGAGAATAGACTCCCAAAAAATGCCCTAGAATACAACACGCCCGGTTCAAGACCTTCCGAAAGACCACAAAGATGGCAATCTACCTCCCAGGATTTTAACCAGAGGCAGCTTCAGAATTAAACAGATCGAAAGATCTCCAAGAAGTAGAAGAAGAAGCAGAAGAAGATTAAAATGGTCATATTTCTGTTCCAGAGATTCGATTTCAATGCATTGGTTCTGAAGCCACAACTCTTGCTTCTTCGATCTTTTTGATGATCATTTGTTTGATGATTTTTTGTACCGTCTTTGTTTCTGTATTTTCTTCGATTTTCAATTATTTTTAATATTGCTTTTATCATCTACGATTCCTTCTTAATCAGATGAGATAATCAAGCAGTAAAAAGCCTAAAATCTACAAAAAATTTGTGTTGGATGGATCTCAATGAAACTTGTTGCATTTGAATCGTATTTTTGTGAAATTTTTTTCGACAAAACTTGATGTGGAAATGAAAATTGCATTATTGAACAATTAAAATGCATTTTCCAAAGTGTATTCATAATTGACGGAAGCAAGTGTGAAAAAAAAACGATTATGGCATCTAGAGGTCTTATAAATGAAAAAAAAAATCGATTTTTTTTTCTTTGATTTATTTAAATTTAAACATAAGAAACTTAATTAAATACCCTATATTTAAAAAGGTCAAAATCAAGCTAAGGCGAAATTACCCAGATTTGGTTAATTGTTATTGAACACAATCTTGTTATTATAGAATAAAAAAATTGCTTCTATCATTTTATTTGCATTAATTATATATATGTACTCATAAAAATGACATTTATCTCTGTTTTCTAGGAAGGTGCTTAGAGCGTATCAAGATAGTTGGCACAATAGATGCCGCTTTCTGTTTTGTTGTTCAACGTCCAACGACAGAAATCGAAATTCTTTTGCTGACATCGCCAGATTATTATCTGATTTCTTTAGAGATTTAGACGTCGTACCTTCGGACGTAATAGTTGGCTTAGTATTACTTCGAAAATTTCAAAAAATCGAACAGAAAGCCATCGTTGAGCAGGTTAGTAAAATAGACTTATTATTTCTACTGTAAAGCAAAATAAAATAACAATAGATCTAATATGAAATAAACTACTAATCAAAAGTTAAGGATATATCTACTAATCATATGTTTATGACATTCACCATAATAAAATTTGATTATGTTATGATAAACATACTTAATAAATGCGCGTAGGTAGAATTTAGAAAGAATTTTGGTAAAATTGTATTGGCCATTGGTATGATCAGGATCTAAAAAATCTAGATATAAAGTCTGTCTGTTAGTTAGTGGCTACAATGAACCCGGAACTATTGCAGAACAGGTTGGAGCTGGATGGTTGAGAGTTACTACATCTGTCCACAATCTTTACATTATGCGATCAACTCGAAGAGCGCCACTTGGTACCTATAAATTATGAATAGGAGATTTTTATACCACAAGTACTTCAATTCAATTATATACATTTAATAATACCAGTGGACAAAGATCTATGATAGATTATGTTATAACCAACAGAGATATACATCCATCAAAAATAATCGACGTAAGATGCCTCAACTCAGCAGATGTAGGTAGCGACCATAGCCTAGTATTTTGTAAAATAAGAATCTTCATGAAATACTTTACACCCAAGAGAGCGGCGCCAACATAAACAAAAATCAAAGTCGAAGGACTTAATACAGAATCGACGGAATACTTAAGCAGGAAAATAATATCAAAGAAGATCGCTGTGAATGAAATATTAGAAAACGATAACATCGATGAAAACTGGGAAAAACTCAAAAATAATATAATTAACGCAGCAACAGAATCACTTGGAGAGAGGAAAGTAACGAACACTAACATATCAAAAAAGAAAACACCATGGTTTAGAAAAGTGAAGACAAAATGTGAAGAAAAGAAGAAAGCCTTTTTACAATACAAAACACAACAAACACAACAGGTATATAACCACTATAAATGAATCAGAAATGAAACGAATACTTAAGTTAGACAAATAAAAAAGGAACACTGGCAGAGTTTCTCAAAACAGATGGAACACGATTTCTACGGAACACAAAAGGAAATATGGAGAATGATCAGAGGACAGAGAAAAGAGATGAACGAACTAATAAAAACGAAATACATTCAGAACATTAAAAACTGGGTAAGAAATAGAAGAGTAGAATGGAAGAATCATATAAGCCGAATGACAACAAATAGAGTAGTAAAGACGACAAGAGATGGTTCTCCAATAGGAAGACGATCAGTAGGAAGACCAAGAAAACCATGGAATGACAACTTACTTTTAGGCACATTGAAAAACAGACAGTCATGTCTATATAAAAAGAAGAAGAAGAAGAGGAACTTCAATTTAGTACTAACTTTACGTTAAAAATTGTCCGAGAAGAATTTGTGACTTTAAGAGTTTCAAATAACCTTCGCAGTTTCCGGATTTCAACTAAATTGAGCCTCCTTCTAATCAACTCTAGAAACGATAAGATGACACCTACGAATCACACCCTTAACTTTGTATCAACAGAGATTCGGTGTTCTCACAACATATGTTCAACAATTAAGTACAACATATATAGACTATTAAGTATTTTGAAGCTCGTACAGAATAGATTATTCTAATATTTGTTTTAATTTATTTACAGTTTTTTAACACAACATTAAAAACACCACTGTATAACAATTATTTGCTTAACCGTACAAATTTATATTTTCGACAATCTTTGACTTGTGATCGATCTTATATATGGTTCGCCTACGCTTTCAGATCTCATTAGAAATTTCTCTGTGCCGCTAGAGCGCTGCTAGAACACTTGCAACTTGAATCGTCGATCGAGTATGTTCGATTAGAGACAACAGTACTAATTGAAAACATATACGTAATAGTACAATGGAACATCGCTTTTGTGGTAATGTCTACCATGATGGCAGATAAAATTTCAGGCAGAAATAATTCCTGATCATGGCCGAAAAACTTCGAAAACAATGTATTATAGGAAAATTATGTTTTAACTTTTCAAATGAAGACATTTTGTCGCTTATAGTTTTTTCATTTTTTTTGCGAAACTTATTGATGTTAACATGAAGAATTGTTTACCATTGACGCCTGAAAATTATTTTTGTTTATATCAACTTGGAAATACCATTATATTTATATCTACATATGTATAATATGTAATTGTTTATTTTTTCTTGTCGTTTAATTCTAAACTTGATTGAAGATTTACTATACCACATCAGTGATTGACTGAGAATTTAACTGAGAGTATAACATAAATATTCGGAACTAGAGCGTGTGGATTTATTCGGTCACATGCGTGGGTAAAATTTTCAAAACATTACTTTTTAAATAAGACATAAATAATAGATTTTTTACAAGATTTCCGTAATATAAAGGCTTTATATAAATAATGCTTAGTTACAGTTTTTCGTTTCGTAATATGTGGTCTGAAAATATGCTCTTTATTTCTAAACTTTTTGTTCACAACTTAGGTAATGATACATCACCTGTCAATATTATAGGAATTCGCGGCTGGTGATGTGCAGTGGTCGATTATTTTCGAGACTTATAGTGGAATTGTTTCTTTGTAACCTTTCGCCGAATATACACCTGAATGTTAACCTGAATGTTTATGAGAAAAATATAAATATTTACAAAATCATTGTTACCGAACGGTTATGCTTCAAGAGATGCGAATTATTCTTCTTCAATAGAAGAGTCACCTCAAAGAACCGCAATATCGGCCAACAACAGGAACCCGAAGAGTTATCAAAGTGTCAGATTGAATCGACAATATCTAATCAAAATATATTTATCTTCAAACCGACGAAGACAATACAAGAACTAATTAAATTTGCCAAAGGTTCAAGAGAACCTATTTAGTATTTCCTGTAGTTGTTCATGTTCAAGTAACAGTCCAGACAACGTCCAAATATTATTCGAAGTACAGATGCTTACTAGAAAATCATACTAGTCTCCATAGAAAGGCCATTCAAATTCTAAAAGACCCTATTGTAACATTTTTTTGTCCACTCTATATCATTTGAGAGTCGTGTCCTAAAATCTTCGAAACAATATCCCTCCGTTCCATGGTTTCCGGAGTTTTAATCTGGAACCTCTTGGAAGCAGTTCATCCATTTATTCGTCATTAAATGAAGCCGTATAGGCTACAATCACAGTGTATAGTGAAACAACCATAATTTACTATAAGTTATTATTATTATATTACTGGATGGTAAACCACATAAACTTAATATCATACAAGTTTACGCGCCAACCAGCACATCAGATGACATAAAGATCGAGGAGTTCTACGAAAAACTGGAGACCACAATCGTTAACATACCAAATAAAGAACTTACTATAATATGTGGCGACTTTAATGCAAAAGTTGGCAACACTACACAAAATGACGACTTGAAGAATGTACAGGGAAAGTTTGGCATAGGGCAGAGAAACGAAAGAGGAGACCGTTTAATCGAATTTGCCATCACAAACAACTACTCCATCATGAATACTCGATTTAAACACCATGTACGTCGACTTTATACCTGGAAAAGTCCTGGAGATAGATTTAGAAATCAAATAGATTACACCAATATTCGCTGGAGATCGTCCATTCAAACAGTCAGATCATATCCAGGGGCGATATGCGGATCCGATCATACTCTCCTCGTAGCTAAAGTAGTGCTTAAACTTAAAGCATCCAACAAACAAAGAGAGATAAAGAGGATAGAACTGAGAAAGAAAGAAGACCTTCTACAGGAAGTACAGAAAAGTATGCCCTCTATTCGTAACGGAACATCACAAGAAATATGGGAGACTGTTAAACATTGCGTAACAACACCAGTGGATCGCTCAAAGAAAAATAATCCGGTGAAACGGAAACACTGGATAACAGATGAAACTCTTAAAATAATTGAGAATAGAAGAAATCTTTGTAAAAGTGGTGTACATAGTGAAAGGGAAAAAGCTAGTTTAAGAAACCTCAATAAAGAAATAAAACGAAGATGTAAGGCCAACAAAAAACAGTACTATCAAAGTATATGCAAAGAAATTGAGAGACATGGTCAGAATAATCAGCCGAGAGATCTATTTAGAAAAATACGCTATCTGACAAGAGACTTCAGAGCCATAACTTGGGCCATTGAAGATAACACTGGAACCCTGAGAACAAACAGAGAAGACATAGCAGAGACATGGAGATCGTATTGCAGGGACCTATATAAAGATGATCAACGCCAAGAGCTTGTTAGCCAAATCTCTGACGAGGTGGAAGAAGAACCTGATATACTCGAAAATGAAGTAAGACAGGCTATCAACAAGCTCAAATATAACAAAGAACCAGGTCCAGATATGATAACAGCAGAAATGCTTAAAGCCACAGAAGAAACCGGCGTAAAGTTACTTCATCTACTCTGTAACCAAATATGGCCTTCCAAACAATGGCCTGAAGACTGTACAAAATCTACAATAACGACCATACATAAAAAAGGCAGCTTCCATAAATGCCACAATTATAGAACTATCTCTCTTATATCCCATGCCAGCAAGATAATGCTACATATAATCAATGAGAGACTGAAAACATTCCTTCAAAGAGAAATTCCACAAGAGCAAACTGGATTTACCAAAGGTAGAGGCACTCGAGAACACCTGCTGAATATAAGACAGATAATCGAGAAATCTAGGGAATTCAACATCCCACTATACATCTGTTTTATAGATTACCGTAAAGCGTTCGACAGGGTCAAGTGGAAACACTTATGGCGAATACTAAAAGAAGTAGGCGTACCACAACATCTAATTACGCTTATAACCGAACTATATGAACACACTACTGGATCAGTTAAAGTACTTGACACACTTTCGAACGAGTTTCATCCAGAACGGGGTGTCAGACAAGGATGTATACTATCTCCACAATTATTCAACATATATGGGGAGTATATTATGCGAAGAGCACTTGAAGGATGGGAAAAGGGCATCTCAATAAATGGTCATAAACTAAACAACCTACGTTTCGCAGATGACACAGCCCTTCTTGCAAATAGTCAAGCAGAGCTGGTAGAACTTATACGACTGATCGAAAACGAAAGTGAAATATTTGGTCTGCAATTAAACATATCAAAGACAAAGATCATGATAGTGGATAGACTACACAACAATCATCCACACATAACCACAATTGACCGGTTCGAGGTTGTGAGCTCATACTTATATCTGGGATCATTAATCACAAACACAGGGTCATTACAAGAAGAGATTAAACGTAGATCTGATCTAGCAAAAGTTGCCACAGCAAAAATGACCAAAATATGGAAGGACTGTCAAATTTCAAGAGCGATAAAGATGAGGTTGATCAACTGCTTAATATTCCCAATACTGACCTACGGATGTGAATCTTGGACTCTGAGACAATCGGAGAGAAGAAAGATAGACGCCACTGAAATGTTCTGTTGGAGACGAATGTTACGAATTCCTTGGACCGACCGCAGAACAAATAATTCAATTTTAAGAGAGCTAAAAGTTAGCCAACGACTCTCTAGTAAAGTCCATCTCCAACAATTAAAATATTTTGGGCATGTTATGAGAGCAAACACAGAAAACATGGAAAGACTCACAAGAAAAGGTAGAAGGCCGAAGATCACGAGGAAGATCCCCAACAAGATGGATAGATCAAATTACAGGAATATGCCAAAGACCTATGCATGAATTAAAAGAAATGACCAGAGACAGAGATATCTGGAGACGGACAATACACGACATCACGTCGACCACTACACTCCCCCTGGGGGGTCAGGATTGAAGAGAGAGATTATTATTATTTTTGTTTGTCTAGAAGATTAATAAAAACTGAAATTTTCTTAATGTGCCGTTCAAAGTATCCAGTGACCGGTGACGTGTTAAATAGTATGAACTATGGGTTTCTTCGTTTAATTTAAATTCAAAGACAGATCCCCTTGGGTTAATTTTTACGTTACCCAAAGTTCTGGGTTTTCCTTCTACCCATCTAGGTTTATTTTACGTGACAAACTTTAATCGTAAATAAGTGGATCTGCGTCTAAACATGATATGGCTTTCACCATTACGAAGTATAAAATCTCTCTTCAAATTAATACCCATTCGGACCAACCAACAGGTCCTAATGCTCAGTTTTACAGATACTCCATGAAGATCATGAGTGAGTCACAGAAGCGAGAGGTTGTCTTCTTTCGCATTGCCTTTGATAATCTATACCGTAATTGCGGACGGAATTTAAAGAAGACAAAATAAGAGCACGGCCTATAAATCCCTCATATAACTAATGGATTTTTTCAAAGTTTCCGTAATATAAAAGTTTTGATGCCTCCATTCCATAAAACTGTGTACGTAGTATCATTTCAATAGACAGTATTTGGTTTTTAATGATATGTCACGGTTCCCGAGAATGGTTTTCTTCCTAACGAATAATATTTTTGTTTTTACTATTCATTTTTTATTTCTGTTAAATGATTATATTGCCAATCTAGATTGTTACCGAGGTATGTGTAATGCTGAACTCTTTCGACATTGTGTTGCTTAATTATTACTTGGGCGTATAAAATGGATGGTGCCATAAATTTGATGTTTGTTTATGTTACGATCCAGCCCCTATCCATTGTTGACTTCATTTATGCAATATTTCCCTTCTTATTGAGCTTCATTTTGGTAACATATTTTGACATTGGTTGAATTTGGGAATTCAACCGCGATGTACACAAAATCTTCGTGGACATTAAATAAGCTTACGATTCTGTTAGCAGAGAAGCATTGTGGAAGACAATGGTAGAAACGGGAGTATCTGAAATGCTGATACGATTAGCACAGGTAAGTACAGAGAACGCTTCCGCACTGATCAGAATTGGCAGCACCACATCAGAGGAATTCCTCATTGACACCGGGCTTAGACAAGAAGATCCTCTCGCCCCCCCCCCTTCTGCTATTTAATTTTGCATTGGAACATGCGGTAAGAAAAGCTGAACCACAACTGACAAACGGATTTGCCGTCCAAGGATCAAAAATACTATTGATATAAGGTTGAATGCTTGAATAAATGAACTTTGATAATATACAAGGCAAATATTAAGCACAGTATTAATTTAATCTTGCCCAAGTGCTTTCGATCACTAGATCATCTTCAGGGGCATTTCGTCAATTGCGGCCTATCAGACAAGAGTAGAATCATAAATATAAAATGGAACATCACAATACACTACACAAAGACAAACAAACACTTATTTTTTTTTTTTTTTTTTTTTTTTTGGTAAAAATACTATTGGCGATTGCAGATGACGTGGACACAATTGCACAATCCATCAGAGATGCAAAAGAAGTTTTCACCCTATTCGAAAACGGAGCCAAGGAAGTTGGTCTGAAGGTCAATGAGGACAAGATCAAGTACTTGGTGGTTACGTAGAACCCAAGGCCAAGGGTTAGAGAAAACATAACAATCAATGAATACAACTTTGACGTCGTCAAAGAATTCAAGTACCTGGGAGCGATCATAACACCTGAAAATAAATATGGAAAGGAGATGGCAGCCAGGATCAGTGCAGGAAACATGGCATATTACTCATTAATGATCGTATTTAAATCAAAAATACTCTCAATACCAGCAAAAATAAGAGTATAAGACAATAATTCGTCCCACAATAACGTATGAAAGCGAGACATGGACTCTAACCCAGCGGGAAACGACAAAATTACTGGTACTGGAACGAAAGATACTACGGACTATCTATGGGCCATGCAGAGAAGAGACAACAGGAGAATGGAGAAGAAATAAGCGAATAAGATGGGTGGGCCACGTGCTAAGATCGAGTGACGAAAGACTCCTGAACGCCACATTCTGGAAAAAGCTCGATGGCAGAAGGTCAGTTGGTGGCTCAAGAAAGAGATGGAAGGACGTAGTAGCCAGTGATCTACGCAAAATGGGAATACAGCAATGGGACATAGCTGCTCAGGACCGACAACAATGGAGGCAAATAGTAAACGCGGCCAAGACTCACATAGAGTTGTAGAGACAAATGATGATGAACATATTCTGACCACGTTGTTTGAAAAATGAAATTGAGTAAAAACAAATGGTTGGTTGACGGTGTATTGTCGGCTAGTACAGAAAGGAGCATTATAATATCATCAATATTCTAAAATTTGCCGGATGATACAGTGTTATTGGTCGATGCGCTTAAAATGCTAATAGACTCTTATAAGATAAAACTTAATTATAAATGATGCAAATTAATACTCCTGGTACAAACCGAACGAATCTTCTGTCTCGGATGTAACTGCAATCAGGATTGGATTTGTTTGAAAGATATCAAATGCACAATAGAGAAGACCGAAAAGTCATGTGAAGTGTATTATGCAGCATACAACTGCATGTCCAGATAAGAATTCGAGTCCTTGCAAAAGTATATAGAGGCTTTTGAGATATGGTATCGTCGTATGTTTAGAATGTCGTATGTATACCATGCGACAAATGGTATGGTACTGGACCGTATTGTAACTTCCTGTTTAAATAGTGGTCAACAAGATTATCTGTACTAGCGTGTAAGCCCACATCCAAAAATGATAAGAGCTGAAAGAATATAATTTGAAGTTTGTTTAAATATTCTCAAGAAAAATTTAATTTAATATTTTACTAATTTTTTGTAAAACTACAAAGTTAAAACAATTTTTAGTTGTTAACTTAAAAAATGTAGTTTTGATATTAAATATTAATTGCTTAATACATTTTTTATGTGTTTTTTAGCGTAAAAATGAAACTTACGAATTCCTCTCAGGCGTTGCTGTCACACCAACAACACAGTTCTTGTCACTGCATGAAGATGGATCTGACTTAGAGCTTTTTCAGACGGTTATACATTTCGCTCATTATGCAGTAAGAGCATATGGATGGCCAGTTTTCATAGTAACGAATACCTTTGGACTATGCCAGTTATGCGCCGGATTAAGGTAAGTTTGCTTTTCATTATTTTCATTAGGGTGTTATAGCTATCGGGAAGAAATCCCATATGAACCAATAATGCATGCTTGGCTTTACATGGGTAGTAAGTGAGTATGTATATAGATCATACCTCGATCACTTAAATCCTGGATTTCCATTCTTCTCGGTCTTGTTTTGGGCTGCTAGGGAAGCTTTGTGTAGACCATGGCCAATAATTAATCTGGCTTGAGAAACCAGCTTATGGGAGACCTTCCTCGCGGTTGTTTACCGTTGATTTTATCCTCGACTATATAAGTTTTTATCTAGTTATACAAAGTGGACCAAAAGTCTGCAAACGTCTAATTATATCTGTATCTGTTGAGTAGGGAGGGCGAGTTAAAGTTTCACAGCACTTAGGCTACAATTTACCCATTGTGCATCCTCTCAGGGAGATGTCGCCCTTAGCTCATTGTCCATCCTGCCATTTCTAGGAAGGTGGACAAGTCACCAGGAGACATCTTTCTTATGTGGGCAGGTGTGGGCCAGGACTCGCCAAACGCGTACTCTCATATTAACGATAACTCCGGGCATTCACATAGGACATTCTCTACAGTTTTGTCTTCTCGTTCACAATTTCTACATAGAGGTTTGTCTGCTAGCCCCAGTGTGTGGAGGTGTTTGCTTAGTTGACAATGACCAGTTAAAAAACCAACTGTCAAGCCTAGATTTTTCCTGGTCATTCCCAAATATTTCTTTGATGCTGACTCTTCAAGGTTAGTTAGTGTTACCCTGACAAGTTTACATCCTTGCCCTTCTTCCAATCTTTTTACGGTTTGCGTATGAGAGTGACATTTGACAATTTCCGCAGTTGTTGTAGTTGATCAACAAAAAAGATCTCCAGGTCCTAAGAGTCTTAGGACTGCCGCCTTCCTAGCCAATTGGTCAGCAATGCGGTTGCCTTTATTTCTATTGTGTCCTTTAACCCACCTCAGGATGATGGTATTACCATCCGAAGCCTGAGTTAGTGACTCTTGACACTCCATTACTAACCCTGATGTGGCACGTGGTCTATTCAAGGTTACTAGCGCTTGTCTGCTATCTGTGCAGATCATTATAGTTTTCACTGCTATACCTTTTTGCGGCTATGAAGATACCATCCAGTTCTGTCTGAACTACGCTGGTATTTTTGCCCATACCCCATTTTGATGATGAGACCCCAAATGAGCCTTCTTTCATTTTGGAGCCATCCGTGTATATGCAATAGGCATTTGCCACATTTGTCTCCCTATACTCTTGTTTCTTGTTTCGTCTCCCTTGTTTCGATTTTGTAGGGTTTGTTAAAGACTTCGTTGAAGTGAATCGCAGCCTGCCTGTAGCAGTGGTAGCGCATCCAACTCTCCCAGCCAGAAACGAGTTCTCCATTGTCCCATTCCTACATCAAGCTATGCACCAGCTAAGCACAGTCGCATCATTGTCACTAAAGCCACCTCTTTGACATACATATCTAGAGGCGTGATGCTAATGATCAACTCCATTGCAGCAGTTGGTGTTGTTTTCATGGCACCTGTTATATTTATGCACGCCATCCGCTGAATATGGTGTAGTTTATTTATCGCTGTTGCTGGTAGCTCTTCTGGTACCCAAGCAATAGCTCCATAAGTTAGCATTGGCCTAATGACAGCAGTGTAGATCCAGGCGATCACCCTGGGCGAAAGGCCCCAGGTGCGTCGAACTGTTCGTCGACACTGCTCATAGGCAATATATGCTCTTTTAACTCTACCATCTAAGTGTGGGTTCCATGTTAACTTCCTGTCAAGGGTAATACCAAGGTACTTCACCTCGTCAGAAAAATTTAGACTGTAGTTTAGAATCCTTGGCGGTATTAACCCCGTGATTCTTATTTTCCTGGTAAAGAGGGCGATCTTTATTTTCTTTCATTAGTTATCTCTTAAATGGATGGTCCCAATTAAACAAAAACACGGATATGCCTATTTTGCAATATGAAGATTTGAAATTTGATGTTTGTAACATAACATTTTTCTTATAATATTAGTTACTTTGGATTTTTTAAATACAACACCTTAGATATCGTACCTTTATTGAAATCTCCACTTCAATTCCAGTTCAACTGTATATAACTTCTGATTTTATGTTGTCAGGAACTAAATTTGAACATAATAATTAAAATTTTACTACATTTGTTTTTACTCCATGTTTCTCTAGATATTAATATGGATTCATCGATAATTATTTTTAGCTTTGCAACACTTGCTGGTTTAGTTTTAAAAATTCTACTTTTAAGTATCCCCAATAAAAATAATCTTTAGGATTCAAATCGGGTGAACGAGAAGGCCATTCAATAATTCAATACTACTGAATCTACCAATTTATCGTACAGGAAATGTCTCGCGGTAAATAACGCCCAACATTTACACTTGTTTACAATTTCATTTCTAATTAGCATTTAATAATTATTGCTTGTTAAATTTCCTTCTATAAAAAAAGGGCTCAATTAACTAACTACTCACTATACTCAATCGTAACCAAAAGTTCTCGTCAGTTACATTTTATTTCGTCAATTATTTCACTAAACTGTATTAGTCATTGTTGCAACCACTGGATTTAGTAGGATTTAAACGAATTCTTATGTAATGCAAGAATGACTGAAGAAAACCCTATATCATAGCATGTATGTGTATGTGTTTAAGAGTACATTTAAAAAATATTTTTTTTTATTTGTAGGTGTTGCTGTTGTGCGCCCTGTCGTAAGCATCCATCATCTCCACAAATTGTAGACGATAATTGCTGCCAGTGTAATTACGCAGCGTTGGATAAATTAAGCGAAATCGGAGATATTGAAATAATATACGCTACTTACCATGTAGATATAGGACAGACACCCTTTTTCGTAGCCTTAGATTATGATAGAAAAAAAGTTGTGATAAGTATTAGAGGCACTTTATCTATGAAAGTAAGGTTTTATATATGTGAAGTTAGCTATGACATTACAGTACACTTTTTGTAGGATATTTTGACGGATTTGAATGCTGAGGGAGAAACCTTACCGTTAGATCCTCCAAGAGAAGATTGGTTGGGGCATAAAGGTATGGTCCTAGCAGCACAATATATTTTGGATAAATTAGATGAAGAGCAACTAGTAGAAAGAGCTTGGGCGCATAATCCCGAAAGGGGAACTGCTGATTTTGAACTAGTCATTGTTGGGCATTCATTAGGTAATATTTATATTTATTAATATTCTTTAATAGTCTAATAATAGATACTGACCGAGGTAATGAACATAATGTAAATCATTATACTTTTTTTCCAACATCACGTTTTCCACATCACGTAATCTTTCTATGGTTAAAAGAGTAGATCTAGCTTCGGGATTATTTCATTTCTTTGCTCGACCAAGTGGAATAAATAGACCAAGTTTAGGTTCTTTTATTTGAGGAGGGGATATTGCCCCTGCTTTGTGGACAAAAATCGGCCCAAAATGCTAATTTTTGAAACTTCCGTTTCCGTTACCTGTCTCACGACGGTCTAAACCCAGCTTACGTTCCCGATCAATGGGTGAACAATCCAACGCTTGGCGAATTCTACTTTGCAATGATAGAAAGAGTCGACATCGAAGGATCAAAAAGTGACATAGCTATGAACGCTTGGCCGCCATAAGTTAGTTACCCCTGTGGAAACTTTTCTGACACCTCTTGCTGAAAACTCTTTAAGCCAAAAGGATTTATAGGCAGTGATTTCGCAGTTCATATACATACTGAATATCAGGATCATCTTTTGCTCTACTCGAGGTTTCTGTCCTCGCTGAACTGGCTTTAGGACACTTGCATTCTTATTTGACAGATGTACCGCCCTAGTCAAACTGCCCATCTGACAGTGTCCCAACGAACGGCACAACGCAACCAAACGTAACTCCGTGCTCGTGGCCCAAGAATACCGTAAGCAAAGAAACGATGAAAGTAGTGAGATTTCACAGGTGATGTTGCCATCTCCCACTTATGCTACCCCTCTCATGTCTCCGTACAATGCCAGACTAGAGTAAAGTTCATCAGGGTCTTCTTTCCCCGCTAATTTGTCCAAGCCCGTTCTCTTGGCAATGGTTTCGCTAAAAAGTGAGTAGGGATAGTGACTCATGTAGCAACATTTGCAGATTGGGGACATTCTAAATTAATTGATTCTTTTCCTTGTTGAAATATTTTAGATCTCACCACAAACACAAACAAAACACTGGCTGCAAAAGCCTCATTTATAAGACTTTCGCTCGTTACAATAGGACTCGTATTACTGGACTTATTTTATTGCAGGTGACGTTTTATCACAATCCACTATATACATAAATAATTTACTGCCATCGAAATCATTAAATCACATTGGCATTTTACTGAAATATAACTCAAATCGCGCGGCGCTATTATATCTTATTAAAATGTGAATAAATTATTGTTTTAGGTGCTGGAACTGCTAGCATATTAGGTATATTGATGAGGCAAAGACATCCGACTCTTCAGTGTTTTTGTTATTCTCCACCCGGTGGTTCATTATCTACACCTGCTGTAGACTATACCAAACAGTTTACTGTGTCTGTGGTAGTAGGTAAAGATGTAGTTCCTAGGATTGGTCTGTATCAAATGGAAACTCTTAGAACGGATCTTATTAATGCCATAAAACGAAGCGTTGATCCTAAAGTAAGTATTGTAGTTATGTCATACTAATTTCGATCTGATACGATTAGCTATGTGTATTTTATCACTCATTTTTATTTAAAATATTTATAATGGATTTCGATCGCAAATTAAAAATGTTTAGTAAAAATTTTATTTTTATTGACCATTTACAGTCGAAAAAAATATAAAATGTGAAATGAAATAGAAGAAATAAAATAAAATGGTAATTGGTGCATGAATTTTTAATACTTTTACATGTATCATTTAGCAATATAGCTAAGTAGAATTAAGATCTTTTATGCACTTTGGATTCGGCTTCTTTTTCTATTTCTTTCAACATTAACCTGTTACTAATTCGCAAGAGGATTTCGGTTCCATAAAATATGTTTTTGTACTTCCTGTAGGAAATTTTATTTTTCTTCACTCTGGTATGTCCTAGAATTTCATTTAGTTGTAAGCTCTCTTCTCTCTTGTTCTCTAAGCACTATTAATGCCACTTTTGAATTGATCCCATATGGTTTCAGTGCTTTGATGGCTTCTTGAATATCGAGCATTATGAAAAATTTTCCGATATTTTTTTGTCTAAGTTGATAGATGCATCTTTTAATAGCGCGAGTTGCCGCTTGAAAACTATCAAACATAGATAACATCTTTTCCAAATATCTTATTTTCAAATTTAAACGGGCTTACCTTCTAAAAGTAGAATCTTTTAAGTAATTTTAAACTGTTTGTCCTCGTTTTAGTGTAGTGTTTTGTACAATTTATGTCATTATTAATGTTTCCACATTCTACGCTTGCCGGATAGTTTACATTTGACGAAATGCCCCTGAAGATGCTATTTTAAGCGAAAGTACTTGGGCTAGATTTAATTAACTTGTGCTCGATAATAGCCTTATTTTTCAAAGTTTTTTTATTAGTATTGAAAGATATTGGTTTCTTCATGATTATTAGACACAAACTAAACAATAGCTACCTAAGTAACAAATTTTTTGCTCTAATTTTCCGCACATATATCACAGTTTTAGCTGCTCTAAGACGGACTGCACAAAACTGAACATTCTCTCTATAAAATTTCAGATAGGAATATACTAGGAAGATAATTTGTTCCGAGCACTATTTTATGTGATATTTAAGATTCATGCATTATATTGAAGTATTTTATGATTTAGTTTATATGTAAATAAAAGTGAATACTGTGACACTGTAAATAATGAATTTGAATGTGAAAAATATGAATTACATTTTTGAATACATCTTTTTTAGTGGAAAACGATTTCGTGCAGCGTGCTGTGTTGTGGATGTTCGCAACCAACATCAGCTGTCGAATTATCAACTGGAGAAAAGGATGTAACGGAATATATGAGAAGTAAAGAAAATGCACGATGTTTAGGTTTGCACCCATCGGATAGTACAATAGCACTAACTAGTCACCAGCCTTTATTCCCGCCTGGACGAGTTATTCACATCGTAAGGCATCATCCTACATCTGGGCAGTAAGTGGATATTTAATACATATTTTGTATCGTCGTAATTTTTGTAAAAATATTCGAAGTTTATTATGGTCTGTTTCATATGCAATCTAGTTTAAGTAATATCAACAGTAATGTATGGTTAGGATGGAGGAAGATCTATTTATTAGATTGATAGTTGATCTTGTATTATTTAATTTAATGTTAATTACAGAACGATAACTTAGTAACTGCAGAAAAGTCAAAGTGAACAATATATGAAATTCTTACATCAATCAGCCGTAGACAGAAGTTTTATTAATGATGGGACTTCCATCAGTAAGATATTTTCAAGTTATTTGCAGAACCTGCTTGATTCCTACATTCATATTTTTTTTATTTTCTATTTGAGATTCATAACACGTGCTAAGGGTCTAATTTTCTGTCAAGCCTGCTGGGTATCCAAAACCTAGGTTGCATGGTCACAGCTTACACGTAAAACGCAGTAATCATTTAGAATAATTTTTTTTATCAACATTGGCTTTATGGCATTGTCACATTCAACTTCAATTTCAACCTGGATGCATAAAAAAGAGACCGAAAAGTTTGATACTATTTTGGGTGTACAAAATAACCTAAGAGGATGTTTTGTCTTTAAAGGTAAATTAAGCGAAGACACCCAGGTTTAAAGACGTCCGCAATTCTATCGACTCTCGTGTGTTTTAACGACACGACGGCGGACGTTGGGAAGAGATGAAAAATATAAAAAAAAATAATATGATATAGGTTTCGTCTTTTTCTAAACTAATACATATCTAAAGAAACAGAAACAGGCACAATGGTGTTTAGTGGAAATTATTAAAATTATTTAATTATTGTCCAAGAGAAGGTAAGAGTCTTACAGAAATAAAAATAAGACAAAGTAGTTACCTTAGTTTATTGCTGAATCGAAATATTCGGTTTAACAATGTTGCCTATATTAAATTTTGTTTATAGTTTATAGTAGAATTTACATCTCGATAAAATCTACATATATTGATCACATCATCTAGACATACAAGAAAGTAAAAAATATATGCCCTTAATACACTGATAGGAATTGTAACAAATGGATGATTCTTTGAAATGATGTAAACTTTTTAATGAAAATTATGGATAACATTTAACTGAACTTTCTGCAGATACTACGCGTTCATTAATGAGTTATTAAATTATATTGAAGTATTTCAGCTAAACTTGTTGAAATTAAAGCTACTATTGATTAGCTTTGGATAGATTACTTAGGATTGTCATAATTCTTCCTCTAATTAAATCCTTTAAATCATTGATATAAATAATGACAAATAATATTGATTATTAATAAACTTTAAATGTTTTTATAAAACATATGTACGTTTAAGGCACGAGTATTCAAAATAATCACTAACAGAAACATATTAACAATTTCAGACAAAAGTATGAAAAAAGATGGAGGTAATAGTACTAACAAAATTACTTATAAACCGTCCCTATGCATGATAAATGGAAAAAATGAAACTTATTCTTTTATTATGATAACTTAAACACTGTAGGAATTTAGTGAAATACGCGATGATATATAGATATTTAGTTTATCAGTCATAAATACATATATTCATTCAATACATGTACATTCAAGGAACATTTTTTACGAAAAAATGGCAAAAATGAAATATTTTTATTTCATGGGAGACAACCTTCCATCACAGCCTCAAGTTTCATATCTCCACGCCGTCAGTACTATCAATATAGTTTAAATAGAAAAGTAGTAAGGGAATAAATATTAACTTTCGAATACAAATTAAGTTGCTGCCTTAAGTTTTGTTTTCTCAGTTTATTGTCATTACTCTTTCATGCCAATTATAGAGTAAAACTAACACAGTTAATTTATTCAAAATAGATTAGAAATACTAGAACATTTTTTTTTTATATAAATAATGAATGCGCCAGTCAAGAAAGTAGAATTTTCAAACACCACTACCCAAATAAGTTAGTCGTAAGTACGTTTTGGAACTAGTTTCAAAATTTCGACAAACGAAATCTCTGCAAAATAAAAAAAAGACGCCACGTTGAAAATTATGTAAGAAACACAGTGGTAGGTATTACGTTTCAGGTCATGTTACGGATCCAAGTAAATGAAGACTTTCTCAATTACATTGAGTAAGTTAATCAGGCGAATTTTGAAAGCTAACAATTTCCATGTCTATTAAATTCTCCTCGTTTGAAAACTCATTGAAGATTTTGACCAATTACAATTTTGTGCAAACATTAATGAAGATGATAAAAAAGATTCAAATTTGCTTATCATATTTTGTTTTTTTCGAATGAATGCAAGATTCCATGAAGTACACATTCCATGAATGCTTACTAGCTGACAATTACTGCTTTTTTTAAATAACTGTTAATACATGTTTTTAAGTTTATATTTAAATTAGCATAAGAATAATATTATATATCCTATAGGCTAATGCGTTGGCTTTAGAGCACATTACTGCTCAATTTGACGTGATAAGGCATTCTCCATTGACAAGTCCTCTTCAACCATCTTGTAAGTCTACTGGCCATTTTCGCGTCTTCTGTTATGGAGCTGCAATAGTGGATAAACTACTAAATTTGTCTGTATTTCTAATTTATTATGGTGTTTTGTGCTTCGTCCTTGAATGGTGTCTTTAACATAATCTCTTTTTAGTTATTCGTGTGTTTTTTGTTTGTTTGATTTGAAACAAAGAAGTTTGTTTTCTAATGATACTTTGGACTTTCTAGTCAATATCATTTACTTTTAAATAATATTTTTTCTATATATTTCGTATTTGTGGATTGTGATGTTGTATGTAGCTTACGTACAGTGTTGAGTACTGACACTTCCTCGGGGTAAAGGTAACTTGCACAGATTTTGTTTTATTAATTTTGAATTTCCATTTTTGCAGCCATATTTATATTCGTGGTGACTTAACTGGGTTTGTCTTTATTTTCTATTATTCTAGCCAATAGAAATGGTAGGTTGAGATCATTTTTTGTTAAATCGTGGAAGTTTTTCAGCGGTTCTTGGTGTATCAGCATCTTACATATTACATACATAGTAAAATTGTTACAAATACTTTTAAATATTTTATCTTTTCATTTGCATTTTTCATTACAATGTTGATTATTGTCGTCCATATCTTGTAGCGACAAACAGCTCAAGGTGGTCAGAGAGAAGATCAGGTGATAATAAGCCTAATTAAAATACAAAAGCCTCGTTGCTCATTCTCGGTAGGTTCAATTGAGGTGGGTAAGGATATGGCTAATAGAAAAGATTTTAGATATATCTCAATCTAGTTAATTACTACTTAAAATTTCCAAAAAAATGATAAATAAAAGACGCTACACTGCAATCTTTCAAGACCCGAAAAAGCTTTTTAGGTTCATCTTAAATAGTACAAAAAATAAGACCTAACATTCTTGTAATTAATATAAAAATGCGTACCATCAAAAACTACGAAATGAATCATATATTTTATTTTAAACACATACGTAATTTTAAATTTAACATTTAAATTAAATGCTCAAAACGTAACTTAAAAAAAAACTATAAACTATAAACTATAAACTTATACGAATTCAAGAATTTAATGCATTAATGTATTCCTAATTGACCGTAAAATACAAATAGACGTATTCCCATATTTCTCATGTCTTCATCGATGCTATCAAGTAACCTTGTTCTGGGTATTCCTCTTCTCTGACCAATGGGTCTATCAAGGAACGTTTTTCTAGCGTTTTTTTAGAAATAGTTACACTCATTTAAATTCAAGTAGCTGTGATTGAAGAGGCATTAACTTTTAGTAAGTTTAGGAGTTAATTTCACTTTTTTAATTTGTTCTTTTGAATCGTAAAAAACAAGCACAAGATTTTATTTTGTTGTACATCTTAAGGACATTACGATCTCGGTAGTTTATAGTTGATTTACTCAACTATTATATGAGCTGTAGCCTGCGATGTCGAATAATGTGGTTACGATTCTCACTACAAACAGAAACCAAAAGGTACTATTCCCCAAGCTGGATGACAAATCAGAGACTCGTAATTTGCTTTGTACAATTCCTCTATGCTTAGTCGTTTGCAATATATGGTTCTATGTTGATTATTTAGCATAATAACCTCTAACCTTCTGGTGTCACTTATGATATGGAACTTCACAGTATAATGATTATACCTAGTCCAAACAGGACTCAACGAATAACATTGAAGAGCTTCCGAAACTTTTCTCTTATAGTCTGTTTAAGTAAATATCGTGTTTATATGAGATTGAAGCACAATTGAATGTAATAAAAATTACATTGTACGCATTGTTTTTGACATTTCAGATAAACATCTAAATATTAAAATATCCATGTCAACACAATATTATAATAACATGAACTAGTTCATTTCATTAAATGTGGCGTCAATATATCTTGTACCTTTCCATTATCGATGACGTTTTGTCTGAGTGTGACTGATTTTCCCGGGAAAATATTTTGGTTCGATACGGAGTAGCGGCTATACCGTACTGAGGAGACCTAAAGAGGTCGAAATACGTATATGCGGCTTGTCGCTGCTCTGTATCGAATCAAAATCTAATATCGTCATTGTGTTTTACTTCTGTTTTAATTGGTATATTTAATTAAAAAAATTAAATTTAAAAATCCAAAAGGATCAAGTTCCAAACGTTTTCAGACTAATCAGTTCATCTTCAGTAACCTTTGTAGTACGTGCAAAATAACCTCAAAACCAAACACTGCTTGGGTTCAAGTAGATTAAACCATGCTTGCAATTGTTAAATTATCTGGGAATGTGCCGATGGGCTTAGATTGCCTACAGGGAACATAAGTCCCTACTAGAAAAAGTTTTCTACATCCGAACTGTAGGAATGTTAAACGTTAACTTCTTGTATGTGTTTAATATTAATGTTGTAATTAAATATACCAATTACAATTTGTTCAAGTTTTTTTAGTAAAAAATAAATTTAAAATCAAAACTTACCCCTTTTAACATCTTTATCGATT